CCCCAAAACCCCAAAACCCCAAAACCCCAAAACCCCAGTATGGGAGGAGTTAAATAATTATATTATTAATCATGTTCAGGAAAAGTTTCAGCCACAGCTCGAAATTATGGGGATCAGCCAAAAAGTTTATGACTGCTAATACAAGGGCGTTTGGGTTCTATTCTAAACCAAAAGGTTTTCCAAGCTCTAAACTAAATTACCTCAAGTATCTTGCACCATTTGCTTTAATGGCAGGAGCTGTCTATGGAACTTCAGAGGGGAAATTAGGCAAGACTTTTGCTAGACTTGCCTCTGGAGTAATTCCAGTCCATAAAGAAGTCAAGGCTGAATGTGGTCCTACCCAGCAACCTGATTTAATGAAATCAAGGGTGAATATAATCCAACTCCCTGCTAACCATCCTTGTGAGGATAGATTCGATGCTCATCAATTGAGACATTCAAAAGGATATTCAGTAGCAGTTTATGATGGTAGATTAATTTTGAATAAAACTTATAGGACATGGTGGATGGCAAATCTCAGAATATGCTATGGCCAACCTGACCAACTATTTAGACAAACACCTTGAGAAAGCTACAACAGATGAGCAAATTAAAGAAGCTATAACTAAGGCTTATGATCAGGTAGAGCAAGAATGATTTGAAAGATGTAAAGGAGCCTTTGAAATGGGATTCCCTAAAGCAGCTTATGTTGGAGCTTGCGCTCTGGTTAGTGTTATCAAAGGAAATAAGCTTTATGTTGCCCAAGCAGGAGATTCCGAAGCAGTCTTGATTAGAAGAAAAGAAGGGGGAGAGTTCGAATCTATTAAAGTTTGTAAAGCTTACACTTGCAATGACCCTGATGAACAGAAGAGGCTTAAAGCTGAATTTCCTAAAGAACCAAGTATTGTTAAATGTCGTTCCCCAACTGCTTGCTATGTCAAAGGATCTCTTATGCCTTCCAGAGCTTTAGGAGATTTCAGATTAAAACACAAAGAGCTGAATTTTCATAATAAATCTCCTGAATATGGATACAGACAACCATTTAGAGTTCATGATGGACCATATATCACTCATAAGCCTGATATCAGAGCTTTTGATTTGACAAAGGATGATGCTTTCTTAATCCTCGCATCAGATGGACTTTGGGATGAAATGAAGGTTGAAGAAGTCCCAGAGGTCATCAGTAAGTTCACTTATCAACCCATATTGACTCTTTTACAATATTTATCATTCTCTACTATAGAAGGCAAAAATCACCAGAAAGAAGTAGGAGAGATCCTTCTTAACGAATGCTTGAACAGAGTATCTCAAGAGAGAGGATATTCAAGGGATTACATTTCTCATCTTAGAGCAGGTCCTGAAAGGAGAAATGTTGTTGACGATATCACCATAGTGGTAGTTGACTTACAGAATCAAGCTCAATAGCCAAATTCAATACTACAAACACTTTCTGGGGTTTTGGGGTTTTGGGGTTTTGGGGTTTTGGGGTTTTGGGGTTTTGGGG